ATAAAACTTTGAGATGTCAAAAAACTATCTAGGCTAGGTATGTTAAGTAACTTTTTTTAATTTTTCGATCTAGCAGTACAGTTTTTTTTTCTCCTTTCATGGGGAAGCTAATACTACGAGTCAAGGCATTTTTTCATGATTAACTTTTTTTTCATTTGTATTTATTACAAAAAAGTTTTAAATTAGTTTACAGGTCCTGTACCGCTTTTATTTTCAATACAAAAGGGAGAGTTTGTCTCAACAATAACTCATGCACGACTGGTTTAGAAAGTCCGTCTTATTTTGTGCAGACGAATCTGCAATCGCGATAGGATCGCCGCCCGGGGCCCTATCTGGGACTGCACGGGTTTCCAAGTCTGCTGAAAGATAAATAATCACTTATTTCCTTACTTTGATTTAAGTCTATTTTATGTCTCGGCTGTTGTTATTCCCAAATAAATAAAATGAAACTTTTAATAGAAACCACTTAAATAATACTTAGTAAAAGGCAGTTTTCTTAGTTTAGGTATTCTTCCTTTTTGAAACATGCAACCTAGTTCGTTATTGTTCAATCGTTTTACATGAAACGTCCTCACTAGTGGGCGCGTTTGATGTAAACTCACACTAGGCCCTATAGTACTTCGCGCGACCATATCTAGGTAGATATTAATCTGTCATTAAAAATCTAATACTTGACTTTTTATTTTGACACTTGGTTTTAGCCCTTTTGCCCAAAAATAAAGAGTCACAAATGGCCAAAGAACTGAAGGAACTAAGCACACAAATCATCACCGTTTGAGAAGGCGGATCTCTCAAGAAGACCAAGGTTACATCTCAGAAACTCGAGGAACTGGGAAAATCGGTAGACCATGAAAGTGTGACGTCACATGTCACTAGTGGATGCGCGCCTGAGTTTGAGAGCCACTGGCCTAGGAAGATCACCCACGCAGAATAACGGTCCGATGCCAGATCGGCCATTATGCGGCGATATTGCTGTTTGCACGTGAAAATTGGGACAAAAATGTGCATAAAGTTTAGAAACAATATAGCATTTAAGAAAAAAGGATTTTACGACAATATGACAAAATAGCGGCATTCGTAATAATGGCGTTCGTTGTTAAGAACTCAATTGATTTTAACCACTTTAACTTCGATTGATTTTTCAGGAAGTTAAACTAATATAGTTCAAGGCTAGAATGAAGTTCAACTGCATCATGCAGGTGGCTAAAGAATATTTTGCTACCAGTTTCCCTTGCTATCGTTTGTGAAAACGCATCATTTTGAAAAACATCCCCCAAATCAGCCCCAACTTATCTCCCTCACTCCATCTACCAAAGAGAGAGACACTAAATTTACCCGATACAATTGGTAGTTAGCGCGCGCCGTTCGAAATTCGAATTTTCGAACTAATGGCGTGGAAGCCATAGACTAAACAGGTGGTCTGTCGGCGCGAAAGTTCGTTGCAGATTCTCGGATAAACTGGGTCAGGTCTTTACCTAACGTTTAAATACTTTTCAGGTATTTAGTCCTAAGTTTTTTTACCATAATATTCAATAATGAGCTGAAACTAGTTCAGTAGTAACATTTATAAATGTAATTCGTAAAGGTAGAGATTTGGAACACATTAATGATCCATAACCTTTTATTTAATTTAAAGAAATCGGAAAGTTGGGTTTAGGACTTGTGATAACAGCACACTGACACTGTTTTTGTCCCGTAAAAAAGTAAAAACGAATCCAAACCGCTCCCAATTTGACAATAAAACACCTATTTTTCCCGCCACAACCGCTGTCACTTTGACAGCCGCCGCCATCTTTTATGGCTTCGTTCCGTTATCGGCGAGCTCCGCGGGATTTATAATGTGTGAATAATACGCCCTACGAGGTTAAATACGTTGTCTGACAATACATAAATTATGAACGACGTAGGGTGGAAAGATGTTGGTATTCTTCGGGTGAGATAGCTATTTTCTTGTTTATCGGGGCGGAAAGGTCTCTTTTTGTTGTCACCACAATGGCGGGGTGTCATGACAGTTTATTAGTAGGTGAGATTATTTTATTGGCAACAGTGGGAGCGGCATTCAGCTTGTATGTTGCCTACATTGTACGAGATATAAGATAGAGTTAAGTTAATTTTCTCGTCTCATAGGAAAACAAAACTAAAGAAAACTGTGCAAAAAGTTATTTTAATTAGATTTTGAATTAAATTCCTTTCTTCCTTTAATTTAAAAATAAAATGATTTTGCTAAATGATAATAAATTTAATTCATGACATGACAAATAAATAATATTATTATAATTTTTGTTTCACCTCAGTGTAATAACACCATCATTGAAATAATATTACTGGGAAATATACTTATTATTTTCAATTATGTACATATTTAGAAAATAATTGAATCGGCTGACTAAAAAAGGGTATTTACTTACCCAATGAATTTTAATTTAATTAAGCTGAATGAATGGTTTTGACACATTTTAAAATTATGTCAATAGATTCGTTATTGACAGGAAGTTATACCTCGGACAAATAACTAAAGATTTTTTTCTTCGTGCCAAAACTTATTAAGCTTGAATTTAGAATTGATCTATTACAATAAAAAGAACTAAAACAGACCTATTATAAAAATTTAATTAATCTTGTTATAAAAAAGCCAAGTTCCAGGACCTACCCCAAAGTCATTCGGACCGTGAAAAAGTCAATCTGTTTTGTTTTTTTTTGCTTTCGACGGTTCCACAAAAGGTATTTTATAATGCACAATCCGGTGAGTATCGATAGTCCCGATCTCGACTCGATAAGGATCGATAAAAGCTAAGGATCGTGTTCGAGCCTTTAAGAGTTTTTTATTCGAATAGCTATAAACACCTAGTTACTGTTAAAGTTAGAATACGGTTGTTTTTTGTCAATCATTATTAGATACCTGCTTATTTGACTGTGGACCGACGATCTGGTGAAGGTCGCGGGAAGTGCCTGGATGCGGGCAGCGGAAGACTGGTCATTGTGGAAATTCTTGTGGGAGGCCTTCGTCCAGCTGTGGACGTCATTTGGCTGAAACGAACCTGCTTATTTGAATGTTTCATCTCTACAATTGCCGTTTTCTGTAGAGAATTTAAGGAAAACTTATATTTCAGTTCAAACATTTCTAGGTTTAATTGCCATCAAACAAAAGAAGAAGGAGAAAATTTGCAAAATTTCGTGGTTAAATTGAGAAAACATTATTTTAAGTGTTATTCATTAAATTGAAAAATCTACTTAGAAACATGGAAATTGAAGCCACTTCAGATGCCTTTTTGAAGATAAAATACTTATATTTTTAAGCTGAGTTGCACCACCTAACTTTAACGGTAACTTTACGATGACCGGTGTATTTTGTATGGAGTTTGACAGATTTTTGACGTTAAAGTAAGATGGTGAAACCCAGCCTTAGTATAGAGTCTATACTAAAACAGATGAGAATCAAACTAGAAAACAATGAATTAAACAAAATCAAGTCATATTTTTTACTTTTTTTTACAAAATAACTCAAAATATCTACTTAATTACTACCGTCTTTTCCCACTTGTTTACAAACTATCCTCAGTATCGTACAAATAAATGATAAAGCCGAGGTTTGGATGTTTCTATGGAGTTAATTTATGGGCACCAATTAGAAGGCACGCCAGTGATACTATCGGATAGCCCTTTTATAATTGTAGGAAGTGCGGTGGAGTCGAACGATGAAACTTTTTTTTTGATAAATTCGACTTAACTGTAACGCAGCATATGCCGCTATTCAGAATCAGTTTCACACAAACTTATGGCATTCATGGGAAAAACTTATCACGAATTATTTTTTAAAGTATAAGACCAACTACTTATATTGTTTTAAGCAAATATTTAGCTTAGGCGCAGACCACCGATTTTTAGTCGGCCGATAGTTGGGCCCGATTCTAATTTGTATGAAGAATCATTCGTCGGCCGTTTGGTGTAGTGGTTCAGAACGGACTACTATGCCGAGAGGTCCCGGGTTCGATTCCCGGCCGGGCAGAAATTGAAATGATGAATTTTAATTTCTGTGACGGGTCTGGGTGTGACTATGTATAATATGTATGTATTTAAAAAAAGTATATAAGTAGTATATCCGTTAAGCTAGCACCCATAACACAAGCATTAAGTTGCTTACTTTGGGGCTAGCTGGCGCTGTGTGAAATTGTAAAAAAAAAAAACATTCGGTGTAATGGGCGCACTTCCAGACATGTATGTTACGTCATGTCGAATTTATAAAAAAAAAGATTTATCCTTCGACAAATTTTATTGATATCTTAGTATTTCTTTGGATTTTCACAAGTAAGTTTATAAGTATAAGTATAAGTTTTGTGAGAAGATTAAGATTAAGTATTGACAACAGCAAAATCATTTTCTGTTTCAAACTTAAACTTAATAAAAATACAAAAAAAAAAAAACAATTACATAAGCGACTCTACCCCACCCTGTCCCAAAAACCTTATCATGGCGACAGCCGCGGAGGTGATACTAGTTTTATTTCTATTTATTTCATTTATAACCCATTTATTTTACGTTTTTTTGCCCCGCCCTAGGAAATGACTCTATTAATATAATGCGACTGTATTTTGGGTACGATCCTTGATTACAGAAAAAAATGTGTAAACGTAGCAAATTAGAGGTTGATTAGGCAATTATGATGTTTTAGACGATAAAATATAGTTATACGTATTGATTAGAGTAGTAAATATTTTAAAAATATCATTGTTAAACTAACATTTAGGTGATTATAAAGAAATTGTTCACAAAACAAAAAAATAAGTACGTTAACAGAGCAGTCTAAAAATAGAGTAGACTTTTTTAAACATCGCGCCAAAAAAATCTGCTAGTACTGGCTGTTATTAAAAGAAAGAAAAAACGCAATATACCATCGCGCCAAAAAAAAACTGCTAGAACTGGCTGATAAATAAAAGAAAAAAAAAACCAAGTGCCCATTAAAAAACAACCAAAGCAAAGACATCACACCCATGCAGCCTTACCTTTCGTCACAGCGACAATGCATCAGCGTGTTTACGCGCCAATTGTACAGCCCATACTTCTTCTCCATACCCCCGATCCAAAACGGACACCTTAGGTCGTGGACCCTGCAGCATCTGTCAGTTCTTGTATACCCTCCGAGTTGAGAATACCGCGTGGCAGAAAAACCCTTGCCACACCATTTGGTACCCGGTACTCGAAGGAGTTCCATCGCGTCGCGTTTCGGTCTGTTGAGGTTTGACGTTTTACTTTTTTTACGGCCAGGGTGGCGCGATGTGATGACCTCTTTCGTTTTTGTTTGCTTTTTTTTTTGTTTTAATGGCTTTGTGCCACCGACGAAGATTTTAATAACTGCCAGTTTTAATGTCCGATTCAAAAATCAGAAGAGACAACCAGTAATAGTGATGTTACTGGATTTTTTTTTCTATTTTTGGACTAGCCTTTATAGGCGAGAAATATAGCAGTAAAAAACCTTATGACCAACTTAATAATATATTTCAAAAGATACCTAGAAACTTTAAAAATAATATTGCTCTAAAATTTCGTAATTGCGTAGGCCAAAAGGCGACCACCAACGGATTTTTACTACAAAAACCATAAACACGCCGGTCCACGTAAATCCGTCATAGACCATAGACCATAAAGTCGATAGATCATTGCGCCGAATGATCCATAGATCACTTTTACAGCTCCAAGCGATTGGTAAAGTTAATTAGGATTATTGAGGATGCGAAGAATTTCTTCAGCAATAAAACTTTAATTACAATGCAGTTATACTTGATAGCATGTCGAGATAAACAAAGATGTACATTATGTCGTTGTGATAAAGTGCGAATTTGCAATCAAAAATATCTTTGAAAATTACTGCTACATTATCCCGGTGGATGTAAGTGAAGTTATTTTACTTGCGTTAAAAGCAAAAATGCATTAAAATAACTGTATAGATGTTTAGGAAATAAGATTTAGCATTCGCTTCCTTGTTCCAACTTTGACAAAAAAATAATAAAAACAGAAAATTCCCATTACAAAGAACGGATCGGTTTTTTACGGGACACGATCCTGCAAAAAACGGACGACTCCGTGAGAACAATCTGTAAATGTGAGTTCACGACAGTCCAGATTTGGAGAACATGGATCTAAGGAAATCAAGCGTTCCCAGAGGACTGAGGGCGTTGTGTGAGTTTAAAAAAAATGTATGAAAAGTTTAGTTCTTGAAAGTTTCCGCTAGGGGCGCTGTACAATCCGTCATACATTTAATGTCATTTTTACGCGCTCACTAGTGAGGACGTTTGAATAAACTCACACAGCCCTCTGACATCACGTAGGGATATTTTAACGAGCTCAAATGAGCTATAAACGCCGTGATATAGGATTACAGATCCTTGATATGTTAACGGCTAGTTTACTGGATTTTATTATTTATTATAATTGATGCAATATTTCTAAACTGTTAAGATTTGAAAGGGACGTGATGGGACTTTTTTATGTTTTTGTTTTTTAAGTTAAGTAGGAACCAAGAAATTTTGATCTTATGAGTAACAGGAATATTCCCACCCCTCGTTCCCACAGCTGCAACTCCTGTGTAGCCTGGTTCTACAGCTAATTTAGCTAAGTATACTTTTATTTTTAGCAACCTACGTTGCTGTCTACATAAATGATAGACAGCACAGTAAAAAACCCTAGGAAAATGCATAAATGCATTAATTGCACACTAGCGCTACAGAGTTGTGCTTGCGTCTTTCGACACTTTGCAAGAGAAATCCCAATTAAAAAAATAACAGCGTTAAATTAATTGCCCTGCATTTGTAGTATTTTTTTTAATGTACACTTACCATATTTTGTGTAAAAATACCCACCCCTAATGCGAAAAGCGTTGTATTTGTTTCATTTAAGCCCCATTTTAACCGTAATTTGGTTACAGATCAAAAATACTATCTAAATCTAAATCCACCACCGAAAAATTAAACCACACACGAAAAACACCCAAATCAACATGAAATTAAAGCCTAGGCTATTTTCCGAGTCTTAAAATGGTTTATTTACAAGGAAGCAGTGCAGTTTTTCTATCTACTTACTCTATTATATACATGTAAAAGAAAAAACATGTTTTTTTACATTATTTTTGCAAGCGGTGACAGATTATTCCGTGTTCTACGATCTATGCAGCAAAAGGTCAGTTCAAGGTCCAAGGAACTTTTCCTAGAATTTTGAGAAGTTAATGTAGTAGGTACCTATAGAAATAAAATGAAGATCGAGTCTTTCACTTTTAACATCATCATTATTTCAGTCGTCTGCTGGATCATTGTAATTTTTTTACAATGAACGAATCTAGGATAGGATTTGGCAGCCAATTTTGACATTTTTGAATTTTAAATTCCGTACCCCAATTCCAAAGCAAAAAAAGAAAACCTTCCAAATTCAAACATAAAAAAACAAAACCAACCTCCTATCGCATCGGCAGTGAGACACCGTGTACGGCCTAAAGTTGAAGTAGCCGAACCTCTTCTTGAAGGGGCCGATGTTTCGTCTACAGTTATCGTGTGCTCTACAGCAGCGGTCTTCGTTCCTATGATCGTCCCCCAGTTCGGCGTAGGTTTCGGCCAACTGGCCGGCGCCGCACCACTTCGTCCCCGGCACTATGAAATTTTCACGGAATGACCTGCGCGACCTGTTTTTTTTATTAGTGTTAGTTGCTAGTGAAGAAAAAGTAAATCAAAAAAATAATAAAACTGAAACTAAAAAAATTAAAGATTGGAAAGAAGTAGAAAATAATGTAGAGTGCGAGAACCCAGGAAATAAATTATTATGAAGTGATTGGAAAATTATTTTGAAGTAGAAAATAATAATTAATTATTAAAATAGAGGAAGAAATAGCAAATGAATTGTTGTAAAAAATGACGTTTAGTTGTTTATTAAAGTATTACCACAATCCTTTAGTTTAGCCAATTAGATTTACTTATTAAAATTAATTAGGTAAAAGTAGTTACTTTGTTTAAAAAACGTTACTTTTTAAAAAAATACAGTATTTTTAGTAAAAGTTATTTCAGTTAAATGTAATGACATTATAATATTAAAAACACAAGTGTTAATAAGTATTTTATTTTCTGTACTGTAACTGTACAGGTAAACAACTGTCTATTTTTCGTACGAAATAAAATAAATAAGAATATTATTCTCTTTAAATAGGTGATTGTAAAATAAAATGAAACCCTATTCGTGTACAAAACATTACGAAAGAAATAAATCTTAATATCAAATCGATTGTAAAGAACCGACTTTAACCGAGAAATTAAACGGAAGTTGTTCTCAAGTCGACGCGTATTTTTTTGTTATTTTTTATTTACAGTTTCAAAATTTTCTTTTTTCGATCTTATGTCAGAGAGGCATTGTACAGCCCGCGTCAAATAGTTTGAGACACCCAAAGTAGCCAAAAAGTTCGCAAAACGTCTTTATTACAATTGAAATAAGGTGTTGTTATCAACTTTTTAACATCCAATGTCACGAACTATTTGACGCTGACTGTACCTACTTGACACTGGCTAAAATATTATGTGCAAACCGAAGCCATTAGAAATATTTTAAAAAATGCGCAGTAAATTTTTTGGTGCTCTTTCTGATTTTTGAATGGACGGAGTTTTGAATTTCGAATGATGAGTGAGGCAGGTAATGGTATGCGAAAGAGGTCATAACATCGCACAGAAACCAGGAAAGTACTGGAAAATGTCGATAGATGGCGGTGCAGTAGTTTTGTAAACTTTAATAAGGCTTATCGTATTTTCACTATAAATAGGTAGTATAGCGCTTCTGAGCCAGTGCCTGATGGGAGCGGCACGGGAGGGGTGACTTTGACAAATATTATGGCGGGACAGAACATACAAATCTGAAGATTTGAAGTTTCGCTGAAGAGTGACGTCGCAAAAACAGTCCCATATCTTAGGCACTGACTCAATTAAGCATTAGATCTATAGCATACGACTACGGTCGAGTATAAAGGTGTCACTCGACCGACAGTAGCACCGATTGAGTGCAAATACGGTAGCTCTTATTAAAGGAGAGATAGGTAAAGCTTTTAGCATATCTTCTGTAGATTCAAAAGTTGATTTTAGAGCAGGAAAATTACCTAGCTAAAGAATTCTCTGAGATTTTGTTCCTATTTTCCATCATATGAGCCAGTTCTTCGTGCCTTTGTAGGCATTCCATTTTTAATCTGTCGTAATTGAACCAAGTAGCGACATCTGGTGGCAATCGCTCGCCTTTCCTCAGTATTCGTAATGTCAAATTACCAAATTGGCGGTAAAATTTTTCTTCGTCGTCACTTCTTTTTTTCTGAGTCAATCTGTAACCTTCTTCATCTAAGGCCAGTTTTAATTCTTTTCTCAAAGTTTTTAGGAAGTTTCTGGCTGATTTCCCTTGCGTTATGTATTCGCAGTCTTGCACTTCGCCGTTTGGGGCGTAAATTACTTGAACAAAATGGCGTCCGTCTGTCAGCTGCCGGAGTTTCAACCCGAGTCTGCAACAAAAAAAAACTTATTAAATGGGTGAATATCCCAAACACGTTTTTTACGCGGCGGAGCTGAGAATCGATGGGAGAAATGTAACTAGAGCGATCATTTTTTTTCTGTATATAGTTTATACAGCGTTTTACACGATAGTAAAGTCTTCAGGACAATAGGTAGTTATTTTATGTACTAAAAAAATTTTCAAAGACCCAAAATCTAATAGCGGTGGCGCGTCCTAACTCTATTTCTACTCATAAATTGTGTTATTCCTTCTTTCTCGGGGATTCTAGTAATTTAAAAATAGTATAGCCATAAAATACATTAAATAAGACTTCCAAATGATATGAAAGAAATGTGATATTTCATATTTTAAGTGTTTTAAATAGCCTTTCAAAACTGTCCCACGAAAAAAAGCAATTACAGTGGCTCAATTTCGACACTCTCTTACTTCTCCAAAGAAGCTTTGAGAGACGTAGANAAAAAACGAGTCTTGTTGATATTCACCCAAATACATGAATTCCAACAATATACGAGTAGGTAGGTTAGGTACATACAATAGTGAACATAAAAATATTGCTTTCTTCTTCTATTTCCCTTCTCATTTGAAGATTTTTACATTAACATTATTATAATATTTATTGGTATGGGAAGACATAGAAAGAAGTTAGAAAATAATAATGTTTTTAACCGACTTCAACAAAAGAAAGAGTCAAAAGGAGGATTGAGGAGGAGGAGGTTCTCAATTCGATTGGTTTTTTTCGGTTAGCCAAGTAGGAAAACCATTATGGGACTATTTCCACCTCTCGTTCCCACCGCTGCTGCAACCCTTGTGTAGCCAGGATCTACAGCTTGACCGCCACAACTCAACCAGTGAAGGTCAAGTTTGTCCCGGGAAAAGCACTGTCATTGGACCCGCAACGAAAGAAGACAAGAAGTTCGAAGTTAGGAAAATCATTAGCCAAAGCGTTTTACTACTTATTGGCCAATGAAGTTTTCTTCCCCTCTAGCTCCTTTTAAACACTCGAACAGCTCTCAGACGGACTAATCTTTGTCACAAACACTCACGACCCTCTAGCATAGTATCTACATATTCCCCTTTCTAATATTCTGGCAAAATACTTCAACTCTTTAAAAAAAAAGAACTCTGAAGTAATTAAAAAATTATGTACCATTTCTGGCTTATTGTTAGGTCAAGCTTTCGCCCATGTTAATTTGGTTCTGTCGCAGAAAGTTAAATAATTATGGCCTATCACAAAAAAAAACTGTAAATAAAAACAAAAACAATTGAAATAATAAATAAGGTACTTGATACAAATAAGGCCTACCTAACTTTAAATGCTTATATTTCAATAAATATTAACGCCAGTCAACAAAAACAAGGTTTATTAACTTCTTCCATCCTTTAATTTTTATAATATTACAAAAAATAACACAATTTTTAACTAAATCTATTCAAAATAAGCAAATTACGAAACCACTGATTTTGGCTTTATTAAATCACCTACACGGAATAAGGCCTATATGATTCAAACGCCTGTAGACCTTAAAATTGAGGTTGTATTAAACAAAATGCGGTCTTATAACATTAAACACGTCGATTTGTTTGCGTTATCAAAATTTTACATACCAAGTAAACAGAAATATACTGTATATCTCTAGATAAACTTAAATTCCACTTATTAAGAATAATACATAAATTATAGATAAAATTAAATATTCATAGTAACAAAGTAATGATTCTTTACTTAAATTATCAAAAAAAATATCAAAAACAAACAATATTATTTTTTTGTATAGGGCTTATTAAAACACCGTGTTCGAATAAGGCCTACACATAAAACCTTTTAAATAAATCAGTTTAGGAACATCATTTAGTCTTGATTTTTTGTAAACAAAATGAGATCTCAATTTTTGTTAGAACCAGGGCATAAAAAGGCTTCTGAATCATCTTTACGAACTCCTACACAATCTTTATGATACCACCAAAAGCAGTCCTTTATGGTAGCATATCTGCTACATTGTCTTCGAGACAGGCATGATAATATCAGCTTTAATCCTTTAGAATTATACATACGGCTTTTTTTTCTTATTTTTTATTGGTTTTGTATTTTGTTTCTTTTTTTTACAGGTTTAGTAATTTTTTTTACTCTGTTTTCTTTTTATTTTCTGTGCTGTTAGTAACATTCTTATTAAATAAATATTTAGTTACTCTTTGACTCATTTAGTTTAATGAATTTGTCCGTAATCAGGTGTTGACATAAGTATCCAATATGGCCTACCATGCTGAAATAAGGCCTAGGCCTTATTAGATATCTCGCTCTTGTTGTCTTTAAAAATTTACAAATAATGCATCAATAGCCAGTAGTACAAATTAAGGTAATTATTAGCTAGTAAGAAATATTTAGAAACGATTACTAAGAAAAGATTAATCTAAAACAGCGTTATTTTACCGAAAATTTAAGATGAAATCGCCAGATTTTTATAAGAGAGCACGAAATCACCCACCACCTTAGAAGAACGCGTGCCAATTGGTGCTGGGATCGTGGATCGGGACACTCTTGCACTCTACCGGGTTGTAGGGCATATGAGTACGTGTCCTTGAAGTATTATACCGGTTGGATTTATTTATCTGTGTTTTCTGATGTATAGGCCTTATTAGAACGTAGGCCTTATTTGTATCAAGTACCTTAGTTTAGTTGTTGCAATCCACGAAGGCCAGTGAGCTTTTTGTGTGGTGGCTCGCTCTGTAACTGTTCGTTGTTCAAAAGTTTTGACAGACATTACCTATCGTTATGTGGTACACGTACACAAGTAAAGCTCACTCGCCTTCGTGAGTTGCAAGAACTTATACTTAAATTATTAACAAACTTAGAACTCTATGACCCTCTAATATTGTAATAAGTTAAAATGTAAGTAATACGATACTAAAATAATTCGATTATTTAACAATAACAGTATCCATTTGACGTATCTATTAACAACTTTGGGGTGACATTGAGACTCGGGGGAGGATGGATGGTTTAATATGAGAGTGAAACCATTTATATTAATGTGAAACTGTACTTTCGAGCTTAATCTCTATGAAAAAAAGTTCAGTGACTACTCTATGATGTGCTTTTTTTTGTTAATTAACGGTTCCACAATGATCTTATCCTACTGACCATGACAATGTGTTCAGTGTAAGCAAAATCAAAAATATTTTATTCAGTTTTGTTGACCAATATTCGATAAAGATAATTTAAAGTTTTATTTACATATTTCTACACTTTACCCACATAGTTTATTTTTAACCTTTCAAACGTGAAAAACTGAAAACAACGTCAACTTTTTCATCTTTTTTAAATAAAATTCTATTTATTCTATTTTATGTAAATTATGTAAACTGTAGTTGTATCTTCAAAATATACAGAGGCGGCGTAAGGCGTAGGCGACGTGGGCCACCGCCTACGGCCTCGCGGTACAAGGGGCCTCGCGCATCAAAAATTTTGAAAAAATGTATAACAAGGTGGAGATGACAATATCATAATACGAACATTGACTATTAAATATAAATTCTTGATAGCTAAACAATGTAGTTAAAAATAAAAATATATTTTTTTCCAAACAAATTCAGCCATAATCAGACAAAATTAAGCAACAACACGGTTTTAAGTGACGAACATTATTCTTTGGCGCAATATTCCTTTAAAAATAATCACTGAATCAAGAAATCAGAAACTGTCAATGTATAGACCTTTGACCCTTTTTTTTATTATTTCATTATTATAATAAATCCGTCTTCAGGTCGCCACAGAACAGGGCCTCGCGAAATCTGTCTTGCCCACATCAAATTTAAGTCTTGCCCCGCCTCTGAAAATATAAAATTACATACACCTAAATAAAATGACTGGCTGGTTCCTTCTCGCGTAAACCCTATTAAGTGAATCCATAGAGAATCCATAGAGTCGTCACCGATACGTCAGTAATGTCAGATAGTGCAGGGATGCGGCGCCCTTGCGTTGTTAAATTGTTAAATTGAGTGTGAACAGCGCGGCCTGCCACTTCCAATTTGTATTGTAGTTTGTATTGTTTGTTTATTGTTAATTGTTCAGTAAACCAATTTGATCTGGATTTTCGTACAGCGACAGCCGATATTTTTGTTGCAAAAAAACTTTTAGGCTGAGTTGCACCACCTTATTTAACCGTAACAATAACAATAACCGGTGCTTTTTGTATGGAGTTTAACAGATTTTTGACGTTTGTCAAATTTAAAGTAAGATGGTGCAACTCAGAGCCCCGATTACGGTAGCTTTTAACGTCTACAATCCAGACACGCTTCATCGATTCTGCGATACGATTGGTCAAAACAGCTGACGTACGCTGTTGAACGACCAATCGTATCGCAGAATCGAGAAGCGTGTCTGGATTGGAAACGTTAAAAGTTACCGTAATCGGGACTCAGCCTTAACTATAGTGGTTCTAGGCCTTATTTGACACTTTTGTAGCAAAAAGAAAAGCTTACTGTGGTTCATACTAGGCCTTATTTTTAAATTAGGGCTAAGTAGGATAGACTTTTCCTTTTGATAATAGCGATGAATTTGTGTTTTCGCCACCTTTCATCATAATATCATAACCTTTCCCTCGTCTCACTTCAATGCATAAAGATGACCGGTAATTCTTTATTTAAATGGCTTGTGCATTGTTATTAAATAAGGGAAATTCATAAAATAGTGACCAAGTACACGGATGGATTGAGGACCAAACTCACAATGTTTCTTTTTCTTTTTTAAAAAGCAAAAACACGCCAATGTTTAAAATTTTTGTATAATAATATTTGAAATTTTATTAATTATATTTGAAAGATCTTTTTTTAAACGTTTAAAAAGTTTTCTTCAACTTTTTAATTGCTCAATATCCAGCCAGTGTCATTTCCGGTCAATCAAAACAAATAAACTCTGATTGCATGTTACGCAACTTAGAATCCATTTTCAATATCAATAAATAAATAAGAGATCTCTATGCTGCAGCCTTA